CGGACTCCTCCTCACCTGCACACACACACACACACACACACACACACACACATCACAGCGGCACACCAGCAGACAGACAGGGAATGTGCATGATCTCTACTATAGAGACGGACAAAGCCAGTCTTCATTCACACGTGTGCTGTTGTCATGAAGTCTGACCTGCTGTTACTCAGCCTTGAGTGTGTCACCGTTCGCTGCATGAACATGTACACTAGGCAATCAAAGATTTCGTCTTGGAGGGCAAAATCGCAGAAGTGAACGCACCTTGAGCGATGGCAGCCAGCTTGCTCTTCTCCTCGGGGCTCAGCTGCAGCATGGTGTGAATGACAGGAAGTAAAGCCTGCCGCTCATTGCCGGAGCGCAGGAAGATGAACTGCAGCAGCACGTTTTTAAGGTACTCCAGGTTGGCCACGGATTTCTCACGCTCCTGATTGCGCTCGAGTCGACGCACCTCACTCTTCAGGAGCTGCAGAGACAGTGTTCAGTGCCAGTGTTCAGACACATGTGAGAGAGCTGTAGTGTGAGTGTGTGTGTGTGTGTGTACCTGTTTTTCTATTCTGGTGGGGACTTAAACCTGAATCCACACAGACTCATGGGGACTCGTGTCATGGTGGGGACCTAAATTGTGGTCCCCACGGGTAAACAAGCTTATAAACCATACAGAATGAAGTTTTTTGAAAATCTAAAAATGCAGAAAGTTTCCTGTGAGGGGTAGGTTTAGGTGTAGGGTTGGTGTAGGGCAATAGAATATACGGTCTGTACAGTAGAAAAACCATTACGCCTATGTGATGTGCCCGTAAACCACAAATGCAAGTGTGTGTGTGTGTGTGTCAGGGCGGTGGAGTCGATCAGCAGCCAGCTGAGGACGACGGTACGTCTCACTGGTCCTCCTCCAGTAAACTGACCCGGTCTCCAGTCAAAATCAGCCGGAAACCCAAGAGCATGCAGTGCAAGGTGGCGCTGCTGGATGGGTGCGACTACACCTGCGTGGTGGAGGTGAGACTGCAGACAGATCCGGAGCTCCAGCTGCTTCTCCTGTGTTTTCCTCAACCCCAGCGAGCTGCTGCCACTCTGAGATTGACTCTCTGTTGCATCACATGGAGGCTTTCATTTCAGAAATGCAGGAGTTTTTTCAATTATTGCTTTGACTTTGCCTGAAAATAAATGCTATGACACTACAGTCCAAACCAGTGTGTTTTCATGCACTGCTCAGGTTTTGGTCGGTTTTGCTTCTCTTCTTTCAGACTAGTGGAGAGAAAACATCCAAAACACACATTTAAGTCTTTATTTTATTTCACTTTATCTATCTGCGTCTGTAGATTTCAATCTTTAAAGAGTTTTTTCTCTTACAAACAGCAAACTTTACAGTTTTATTCCTCTCTATGTTCTGAAGGTTTGTTCATATTGCATTCACACTGATTTATACAACATTTTACTCCTAAAAACATGGTGAAAATGTGTTTGTTTTCTGTCTGTTGACAGTATTTTCTGATTCATGATAACAATCATGTTGAGTTTGTGTCTCTTTCTGCAGAAGCGTGATAAAGGTCAGGTTCTGTTCGACAAAGTCTGCGAGCATCTCAATCTTCTGGAGAAAGATTACTTCGGTATCACAGTCCGTGATGTGGAGAATCAGAAGGTACAGTTCCGTTCATATCGATTCAGTGAAGCTTTGAACACTGATTCAGTGAGTCATGACTCATCTGAACGCTTCGTTTCAGAACTGGCTGGATCCTGCCAAAGACATGAAGAAGCAGATCAGAGGTGAAACGCTCTGGAGATAAACATCTGTCTGATCCGCGTGTTCTCCGTTCGAGCGACTGACTGTGTTTGTGATTATTTTGCTCTTCAGGCGTCACCTGGAATTTCTCATTCAACGTGAAGTTTTACCCTCCGGAGCCGGCGCTGCTGTCTGAAGACATCACCAGGTCAGAGACTGAGAGAAATAATCTCCGTCCATGGGCACATTTTATTACAGTGCATTATAATGCTTTTATCATGTATTTTAAAGCAGAAAAATGTGGAAAAAAATATTAGGAAAATTTATAGCTAATATAAATATGTCTTAAATATATTTACCTAAATGCATTTTGAATATATTTTAGTTTATATTTTTTAACAATACTTTTCATTAAGATTAAAAAAAAAAAAAATTCTATTTTTTATTATTTTGAATCGATTTTTTTTCCATTTTTATCTTAATTTTAGTTACATTTTTAGTAATTTTGTTGTGTTTTTGTCATTTTTAGTAGTTTTTGTTTTTTTATTTAGTTGTCTATATAGCTATATAGTTTTTATTTATTTTTATTTCAGTTTTAGTTATTTTAGCACATCAGTTTAAACTAAATGAAAATGCCTTGGCAGCTAGCGGAAATAAAAAGTTTTTATATTTGATTTTATTTTTCACTTTTTTATTTATTTTATCTATATATTTTTTAATTGTAATAAAATTTGTCATAATGAAGAAAAAATAATCTTGGGGATGAATTATGACTTTATCATATTCTTGACTGGTTTTGTACGTTTCACCCCAGTGTTATTTTAGTATCATTGAGATACTATTATAGTCTTTTATTAAAATTATTATAATTTTTTATATATTCTATTCTATGATATGATATGATATTATTAATATAATGTATTTATATTATTTTTATATTTTGAAGAATTTTTTTATTTTTATATTTTTTGTTTTCATTTATAGTTTAAAGTTTTTAATTTAAAATGTAGTTTTTCATAATTTTGTTGTGTGTTTTGTCATTTTTTGTTTTTGTGTATGTATTACATTTTATTTCAGTTTTATGTATTTTAGTACATCAAGTTTAACTAAAATAAAATGAGAAATGTTGCTGAAATTAGCTGAAATAAAAAGTTTTTATATTTGATTTTATTTTTCACTTTTTTATTTATTTTATCTATATATTTTTTTATACACATTTTTTTTTAAAAATTGTTTTTTTTATGGTCTTAATTTTAATTTCAGTTTTAGTTAACTATAATAACCCTGCTGGATGCTCACAGTAAATGTTTATAAAACTGCATATGTGTCTTAAAATGTATTTGAAATGTGTTTTCTTGAACCTGAAGTACCTTTTGTATTATATTTTCAATTTTTTTAGTTTAAACAAAATATGTTTTGGAAAGTATATTCCTTAAAATAAATACCCTGTTGTTTATGTATTTACAATATCTTTGATAAATTTAGCCAGATACACACATATATATACACACACACACATATATGTATGTATATATATATATATATATATATATATATATATATTTCTA